CAAGCATTTATGCTACACTTTATATATTTTTTCTAGATGTTGTTTCGTGGTAGATTGTGAAGTAACGTTACCTTGAGGTAAGTGTTAACTTTGAGGTATTTTTGTTTGAAACGACCTGACGAAAGACTTTAAATTATTAAAAATATTTTCAAAAGTCGACTTTCTATCGCAGTTTTGTGAACTTTGGAAATTATTTTAATTGGGAGATAAATTTAAAGATATAGCAAATCGATACATACGAATATCATGCTGAAAATCAAAGCCGGCACTGATGCGTGCTTCTAGGTATTATATGATTAGAAGATAAAGTGGACAGAACAAGAAGTGTTGTATTCTATCTAGGAGGAAGCTAATGAGCAAGTGTCGAACTTGGCCTACAATTCGGTATTCTCTTTAATAAGATTTGTAGGAAGTTTCAAGGTGGAAATTTATATGCGGTATGTGGGAAAGTTAAGGTCTTGACACTTTCTGTTACGTAGTCACAAACATTTACAGATTCTCTTGCAAGTTTGTAGCCGATATCTTCATTTTGGCGAACGGGAGAATGTCTACCACGATCGCTCAGACGAACAGATGGACATGCACGAACGGACGGACATGCTTGGTGCATTGCAAAATTTAAAAACTGGGCAAGAATTTATACACATTTTGGCGCTTTTGAAACTTGTTGCTACGTATTGCAAAAGTTTTGACAAATAAAATGTTATTTTTTTACACCATAATATTGGGTAGCACGTCGACAGAATCAAATTTTTCATTTTTTACAAACCTATCTACTGTTGTCTGCGAGTAACGAGCAAAAAACGAATTTTTTTTATCTCTTTTGAAAAGCAGAGGTGTTCTCAGTTTAACTGGTAGTGCAGGAGTGTCCTTCGACCCGTTTAGCCGACTTTCAATAGCAACCTGCGTGCAAGAACTTTTAATGTTCCTTCCAAATTTGAAGTTCATACCTTCGTTGCACAGACGGACATACTTAAATCGATCCAGAATTTGATGCTTATCAAAAAGATGTACATTTATCATCCCTCGATGATGGGTATAGTAATAATAATAATAATAATAACAATAATAATAATAGTGACATTATATTAATCATCGCATTTAAAGAAAAAATTGGTAAATGGATGAGAAATCCGTTGAATGAAAGAACGAATCTGAATGAGTACAATTAAGTGCAGCTTCAAATTGCGCACTGTTTTACGTTCGGAGGATTATTTCCAAAAGGAAAAGGGGTTTATATGAGACACTCGGGTCTAAGTGATGACGAATCAGATAGCCCCTTTAAGAGGTTGTGAAATTTTAATGAAAGAGGAATATTGTTTCCAATATTTTGCGTCAAAGTGATGTTGCTAAGGTGTCTGTCATCTGCGGCCTAAACGATCCCATAGCCCATATGCAATATATAGCTACCTGATTTGAAAATGCTTACTGTTCGAAGGGAAACTCTGAATATTATATCATTGCATGATATGCATGATTGCTATATTTAAGCTCATCAGTCAAAGTGGACACGAGTCAATTGACTTAACACAATGCAATGATTATTAACTTGACTTTTCCATTTTTCATTATTTGCAGATCGATTTTAATTTAAATATTATTTTATATATGTAATGAGGATCGAAAATGTAATCACGTTTTGCGTTAATAAAATTATTATATTTCGGATAAATACTTTAGCGTTTGCCTTTTCAAATTTGAGCTAAGAGCACGATTATAACAAAACTGACAATAAAAACTCTTCAATTTCATCTTTATATGCGTTTTTATAGTTTAAATTCCAGATTTATATATAAATACAATTACTAATGCAAAGAGGTTTTATAATATTTTTAAGTTTAGACATAATAAATGGCAGCGAACTATCTAGTATTCGCGTAAATGAATGTTCGCCATTAAATGCATACACAACAGTGATTTAATTATAAACCATAATTAACAAACACTTCAAGCTCCTGTAAAAAGAGCTTAAAGTGAATATAAAAGCCAAAGCATGAAATAGGAAAAGAAATTCATTTAAATTTGCCAGATGAAACCGTATTATAGTTAAGAAGTAAGTGAAATGATTGGTATGCTTAAGGCATAGTTGAAGTATCTCCTAACGAATTTAAACGTTTCACTTAACTGGGGATTAAACGTTTAAACAAAAATATGCCATTACAGAGGTCATACTAAAATTTCTTTTTCCGTTAATTTCTAGAGCTTAAGTAATATTACTTAACAATCCGCCACACTGATGCCCAGTCCGCTTTTTTAAGTGCAGGCACAATGATTAAATCTTAAGGTCCAAGCTAATGTTATTAAATGTAATGAGAACGTTAAAGCTTAGCTCAAAATCATAAGCTTTTCTTATTTCGTTGACCAAATATTCATTCAGTATTAAGTTAAAAGGAAAGACAAAAAAAGAAAAAAAAAAAAAAAACTTAAATATTTTTCACTAGAAAATTGTAACGTGCAAAGCCATACGCCTGACTTGTATTACTTAAGCAAATTTCAAAAATTGCTTTCCTTTTTTTATACAAGTGAGATTCTTCTCGTATTATAAATAGAAAAGGAAGAAAATCACCACAACCTAGATTATAGCTTTATTTTTTTTTTGTTTTTTTTTATAACAAATTCATTTTCATCGATCAGCTCGGACGAGAATTGTATTATGGACTTTTCACTTTTCATTTCTTACTATTTATTTTTCATGGATATTATTGAATAGTTTGTTTACCGGCCTTCGTGTTTATTTTTGAGATTTATTCCAACACGTGCCTACTTTTCCATCTTTTTAATAACGGCACCGTTTAGGTAAACATTGCCAACCATATGCCTGACGAAATAATTGATACGTAAAAAAGTGAGAAATTTTGAGGGGAGGGTTGAAATAGCGATCTGCAATGAATCGAATTAATATGATGTAATAGCATTCTCATTCACATCTGCGAAATGCGCGTAAATTTTGTTAAGGAAAATTGCTTAACCATAATCGAACCACGTTTTTCTATATAACAAACGATACCACGATGAGCCTCACCGGCACACAATCGTGAAGGTGTCTAATATCTTCGATAGGAAATTGTTTGCTATATAGTTTGTAATCATTTATTTAAGCGAAAAATAAAAATAAAAGTTTATACACTGGCCACATATATATAATACTTTTTTTTCCGAGTGTAAATGAAAAAGATTTTCAAAGACAAACCACATGAGAAAATTACATTCAATAATTGCGACCAGGTTTTTTATATGCATTACTTTTATCCCTGAAAGAACTAAATTTCCACGCTATATAATATCGAATGGGCGTGCCGGATTATTATAATTGTATAGGACATACTTAGAAACTTTTATCGTGTGTCTGGTGCAGCTTATGAACGCAACGCGAAAACACATAGAAAGCAGAGATGTTTTTAGTTTATCTTGCATTGTAGGCGTGTGCTTTGACCGAGTTACCGTAGTTTCAATAGAAACCTGCATGCAGATATGTCGAATGTAGGGCAGAATTTGCAAGTGATAGCCTAATTTATTCGGCCAGGAGAAGACATTGCACTTCTGTAAAAAACTGGAACTCAAGTTATGGGTTTGAAATGATGCACACAGTTGCTTAATGCATCTTTTGCCTAAATTTTGTGTCGATTGAATACTTGCTATCCTAGATATCAGATTTCCTTCTGGCTGTGAGTCCGTGAGACTTATCGTAGTAAGATGCGTTAGAGAAACGAAAAGGATTAATTTTTCACATCATAATTAACTGCTCACAAATATATATCCTTTTTTAGTGTTAATTGTTAATTTAAAGTAAAGTGAAAGAAACATTTTTTGAGAACGCAATGTCAAATAATCAAAAAAGAGTCCAAACTTGAAACACACGAACGTAAGTTGAACACGACGGACCGACGCACACATAATCTTAAATGTGATGCTAGCCCAAATCCTAATAGGTGTTGCATATATCCGCACGAACTTGATATGCCCTTGCACCACAAGTGGTGTAGGGTATAAAAGGAGAATCTTAAGTCATAGTGCTTAGCCACCTATATCGTATAAAAGGTAAATAAAATAGAATATGAACAGCTTCACAGATATTATCACTTGCTTAGCTTTCAATAGCCTTCATTAACTTAGGGGGCACTTGTGTCTCGCTTCAGAACAGAAGCTTCATTAAATGGCGTAGAAATCGTGTTGTGTAAAAACTGAGAAATGGAAATTTCCTCACTTGATTGTGATTATTTATTGATCCTCATTCTCATATGAGCTAATGCCTGTGTGAGAAAATAATATGAACTTCAGTTATATTCGAACACATTTTACGCATCCACAACCACGTGTTGACTTATTTTGCACCTTTCTGGCAACATAACGTCCGTTGATAATTAAAAATGTAATTTGATCGTTATCTTGAGTTCCACTTGTATATGTAAGATATGGTAGGAGTAAATTTTTTTGTTAGATTATGATTGAAAATTCACTTTAAATATATCTGATAAAAAATAAGTAAAAGATTTCAGGATTATGGAGAGTCTTTCATAGATTATTAAATTATTTAGGTGAGATTTTTATTAATTATAAAAAAATTTTCATCCAATATAAATACCTGCCGCTAAAGCGGGCACGTGCTTAAAATTTTGTTTTCATTATTTATGAGTTTCTTAAAATTAATTATCTCACTAACACGTTTAAATTCCACATATTTGTAAGTATAAAATAATAACCTCGTATAGTCGTAAAGGCATTAAAATCACTTAATAAAAAATTCAACCCCTCTGACTTTATAAGGAAAACTAATTTTTATTAAGGGAGGAAAAGAAACAAAGAAAAAAAAAAAAAATGTCCAAAAGGTCTAAAAGACTTCAATGAATAAAAGAAGTAAAGCAAAAAAAAAAAAAAAAAAAAAAAAAAAAAAAACACAAACAAAAACAAAGTAAACGCAATAATATTAAAATTGAAATGTTTACCAAACGGGGAAAACAATACAAATTTAATAGAGAAAACAGTAAGTTAAATACACTTACTTTTACATTCATTGGCGTCGCGTGCGGTGGCGCGACCCCAGGGACGATCAAAGTGAAAGGGTTTGCAACGTTCGCAATCCCGTCCCGCAGTGTTGTGTTTACATTCACATACCAGCATTCCATGATGGTCGGTAATGCACTTTGAGGCATGGCCGTTACATTTGCAACGACCACCTACAGAGAAATCGGATACCGCATAAGTTTGGCCACTACTGACGACAAGCGCTGATGTCGAACCGCCAATAATTGTGTTAGTTTGTTCAAACGGTGTAATGAATAACGTTTTAGAGACCGCCTCAGTGTATTTGCCTTTATTAAGATCGGCAAATTTTTCTGAATTCGTGTCCAAGGTTAACAGAGCATTAGATTCGGGCATTTGCAAGCGATGGAATATAACGCGTATATCGGTTGCGGTGACCCAATCTTGTAAAACCGGTGAATTATCTAAATCGCGAGCCGACGGTCGACCGTCCAAAGTGCTAAAAGCTATACGAAAATCTTGGCCGCTGCCCATACGATGAGAGTCCGTACATCTGGCCTCCTGTTCGTTGTGTTTATTTAAAGTGGCACGATTTGGACGTCCGTAAACTCTACGGCACTGAGAGCTGTAAAATTGAAAAGGCTGCCAAGTTTTACCATAATCAGAACTTTTATAAATTGCAATAGAATCCGGCTTCGGAGCTTTAGGACAAAATTGCAATATGATGTAAGTCAATTCATATTTTTTTCCTAAAGATAAAGTAAGAGTGACATTGTCTGGCGAAGCGCTTGGATTATTAACAGGAGCTATAGGTTCCGATCTCCAGCAAGTAACATTATTTGGATTATTTAAATCGGTAAGAGCTGTCGCTGGGAATCTTCTTTGCGAATTTCTATCATCACAAATACCACACGTTGTAAGCTCTTGACCGACATTACCACTTAACGAATCGGATGAGGTTTGATCGCAATATCGTTGCGATTTGTCTAAGCCACAAGTGCTTGAGGCAATGATGGGGACACCGTAAGCTGCGTTTATAAAATCTGGTGTACATTGACGGGCCTTAATCTCATCATAGCAGGGATCGGGAGGTGATTGAGCAGCAAACATTTTTAAATATACATCGTTCGGTATAGCCTCTACAATGAGAGGTCTTACTAAAGCTATCCATAAGGAGAGCAGAAGACAAGCAAACCTAATAATCATGATATGATACGACACGTCGTATTATTACAATTCGAAATGGAAACGAACTATTTATTAATCATATAAATTTTTGTATTCGTTCTGCAGTGTTTGCTCAATTGTTATTCATAAAGGTTGATTTAATTCTTCTTTTCAAACGCAATTGCAAGATTTAAATTTTAAGCATTTCGCCCTTTTTATTCACTATTCAAATATTTTTAGAACTTTCACTGTTGAAATTTTTTTTTATTTATATTATTATAATTCACATTTGACGCGCGCGTAAACTAACGAGTTAAACTTAAGCTTTGAAATGCGCTTGCTTCGCACGCTTTGACAACAGGATTAACGAACGCGAGTGAAACTCACAATACGTAAATTCTAAACCTTTAAATATTAATTGTTTCCGGTATATCTAAACGTCAAGTTCAGCTGCCTGTTTACAGTCAACTAAAAACACACATTTTTTGGCCGCAACCGAAAAGATACAAAACATACGAGCAAGGTACGGTTGGCTCATTCATACAAACAAACAGCCATAGGTACGAACAAAGATGCACAGAATCCAAGCACCACACGTTAAATATATTCATATATACGTATGCGTGCATCGGGCATATGGTTTTTTCCTTTTCATTGCTTCCATTTATGTGGTAATCACGGCTACGGTTAAAGTGTGGTATGAAGACAAAACATATGAAATTTTCCAAGTGCTTAAATTCATAACTTCAAACCAAAACACAACCTTTCTATAGGTTGTGGTAGCATATTGTTTTTTTTTTTTTTTTCTCGAGTCTATGTAGAAATTCATATCAAACAACCTGATGCTGCACAACAGATATTGCACTTTTGTAATTCTCTTTTATATATATTTATATATATATATATATATATATATTTTAATAAATTTCTCTCGTCTATACTTTATTCCAACACATTACGGGAAAAGTTATAAAATTTCATTCCATATGGTACACAAAATGTAAAATTTTTAATTCCAACATTAAGGAAAACAATCCGAAGTTATGTTTATATATGTATATGTTACCCTAGGTGGTTTAAATCTCAGCTAATAAATTTATATACGAATACTGTTAATTTCCATATATCAACACATATTCTCTCGTCTCTCATCATTTTCACAATAAGTAAGTTGTTTTGTTTCTCTCCTTAAAATTTTCTCCTTCTCTTTCGTCGCTCTCTGTTTTCTCTAATCAATTTAAAATTTATTCACTTCCTACTCACCACATCTCTCGACGAAAGTTGCGCAGTTTCTCATATGTGGCTCTTTAATTCCCGGAGAGATTTTCTATCATGATTTTCTCAACAACATAATTCTTCTTTTGTGTGGATGCTATTTATAATTATTTAACTAATGTAAGCTTAATGTCTACCATAAAAAAGTTTACGTTTACAGTCATTTGTATATTTGTTACCACGTAACATGCAATTTGCGTTTTCTATTCCATATATTTGCTTATATTCACCACTAAAATGCATAACACCCAGGAATGTTCTTTATACTATACCCTATATATGCACATACGTATATAAATGATTTATACATATCTATGTGCAAGTGGTATCTCGACAAGCATCACATTCGCAACCCGCTTAGCCATATGCGTCCGTCTGTCCAATTTGTCATCAGACTTGACATTTGTAATCAACTTCTATTTTGTTCGCCCTACTAAAGCGCCTCGTGCACGTTTCATATAAATAAAAAAAAAAAGAACTATTGCGTTTTTCACATGATAAGAAATTTTCTCATTTATATAAGTAAATAAATTTTGCTCCAATATATATATACTTGCCTCCCTATCCGATTAAAAATGAGCACCAGTTCCAGGATATCAGACAACAAGTTCGAGGCGTTGTTTCAGCAGGATTTAAATCGCGAATTGTCGCCTTTCACATATCCTAGGATATTGATAGTGATTAGGATAGGCAGAGTTTACTATATATAGCAAATATATCACTCACCGGTCAGAAGGAACGGGTGAGAGAGAGAGATGTCAAAATATTGCGTGACAGCGAAGCCGTGTATTGCGAAATATATATTCACCGAATATTCACCGAATTTATTCAAGCTAAGAGGCTTCTCAACTGACGGACACGGTGGTATATATATTTTTAGCTGTTGATGATCTTCTTTGCTACGTAAATCATAATGTGTTACATAGGTAGGCTTGTGATTAGCATATCTGGCTATTGATGTTGTCACCCGTTGAGAGGTCCTTTCATTTTATGCATCGAATTTTCAATTTTATTTTAAAAGAGACATTTATTTGTCAATTGCATTGCTCCCGTACTACTGACAAATGTCGCTGTCTAATGTGAAGTATTGTTGCAGTTTTGGATCAATGGCAAATCTCGGTGCATGACGTTAAGTGTTTGGAGACTTGATGTCTTAATGTTTCTCGCTTATTGTTTCCTTTGAGATTTGTTTTTTTCATATAATCTTCGGTTCAACTTCTTTTTATCATTGTTAACATTATTCGGATCAATAAGTCATCAATTGTTTTGAAAGCTAGATCAAAATTTACGATAAATTCAATTTATTATTTTTTAATTTTTTTAAATTTTAAATCATCTAATTTAATTTTTTTAATTCGTTAATCGCCCTCTTTTAAATATCTAGGTTTCGTGCAGAAATATATGACTCAAGGTGTCTGTTAACTTTCTCTACAGAAGAAGCAATGTTTTACTTTCTCAAAGAATGCTCTAAATATCTGAAAAATGATAGCCAGAAGGCGTGTGATAAAATTTCTCATTGCAATCCTTTTGATTTAGATAATTTAAAATAAAGTATCCTTTCTGTTGACTAAAGACGTCTCTTTTTGAATAGTTCGGAACACAGCCGTTGTAATTGCTGACAATACAATTCAGTAGTAATTGTCTCTTTGCGTATTAACGATTCGAAGGGAAATATGTCGCTACATAGTGCCATCAAACACACAGTATTATCTTTCCAAGTGATAAGCTAAACTTAGTGATTGATGTTGTTGTTCCTCTTGCAGAATGTCATTGCTTGGAACCCTTTATGTTATCGGCCGATGAAGGGATAACATTTATTGATTAGTCACACATCCACTGCGGCTGCGGTTGCTTTCCCATCTATATCCGTTTTCTCACTTATATTCGACCGGCACCGTATCAGGGAAATCTCTTGAGTGATTGGTCATATTATAATCGATTATTCGCGTATGGGTCGAATTTTAATCAGTTTCTACAAGAGATTTATGGTGTTATTATTAAATTAGTCGAAATCGAAATTTGTAAAAAAATACGAATTCCCTCTATAACGATTAATGCAGAACTAAAGGCTAAACAAATCCTTAATACATAAACTGCAATAATTTCACTTGTATGACTTTCGCAATCGGCGGAGAAAATAAAATCAAGCAGAACTGTTCGCGCTTTGCAGCAAATGGGATTCTTTTCTATAGTGATGCCCACGCAACGGTCGTCAAATCTTGGGTTGTTCCCGTCACGATTTTCAAAAACTTAACTCAATTCCTTTGTATCCCTACGCCACTACTTGTAAGAGCGTGCTAAGCAAGCTCGAATGTATGAAATGCCCAGAATAACTTCAAAGAGGATCATGTATTATTATACCAGCCTATTTAAAATAATTTCTGAGCGTGTCCGTCCGTCGAATGTCTTTTAATGCACTCTCATGCTGGATGGATAGAATTCAATTGTCGTGATATTTTAATGAAATTCGCTACAAAGACTTGTGTTACGGTTAAGAGACGAACGCTCTTAAAATTATGTTGGATTAGCCTATTTATATGGCTGCCCGTTCATATGACGCTTTTTTTGAAAAATAAATTATGTGAAAAACATTTCTCATTTTTCATATATGCTTACAACAACTAAGTGAACGCGAACGGAAAATATGAAAGAAATCGAACTATATTTACAAACCCTTTCCACATAAACGTTCTTACAAAAAGAAGCCTTCGTATGACTACAAGCTCTAACCTTTACTGTGGGATGATTTGATATGTACATATATTGATTTAAGCTTGGACTGCATTGGCTAGTTTTTCGCCAGACTGCCATATGAAGTTCCTCATGACGCATAGGCCTTCATACGACAGGAAGATCCAATATTTGCTATCTGGAGATAATTAGATGTTCGACAAAACAATTTAGTTTGCTAAATTTGGATTCAGTCTTTCACACTCGGTCTCCAAAATACACAGGGAATTCTGTAACGATAATTGACATTTTATCACAAAAATATATTAACCGTTGCGATAGACAGAGTTATGTAGAGTATATAATATTCGACATTATCCAACTATAACTATTTCTCGCTTGGTTGTCTTAAAAGCTTAGGGGATTCTTACCAGCGACTCAAAATGCGTAATATATCTTTATTTGTAGCGTTCTTTTCCAGTGGCTCCATGCTTTACATGCAGGTATGATTTTAGTCATTTTCCTTTGGATAATAGGGATTATAAAAATATTTGAATCGTTATAAATGTTGTTCAACAGTTGTCGGTTGACAAATGTTTAGCAGAGTTTTTGTTGACACATCTCAGACGATTAAGGTCGCCCAACAATTTTTACTTTTTCGCAATGGTTCCCTTTACCCAGAAATGTGAACTTGGACTACTGCTTTATACTCACGACTTTAGGACACTGTACACATCATTTGTGTACAAATGCTTTCAGAGTTCTAAACACCAAAAAAAAAAAAAGGTTTCCGTACCAAATTATCCTCTACCATGGCAATGCGAGTTTCTACATATTTATGCTAAAACTTCACTTCTTAAGCTCTCGCAAAACTATTCCTGGTATAAATCTGACCTGACGTATAATGATTTCGCTTCCCTTAAGCGTCTGTGAAACGAACTGCGCGAACAGTAATTTTCGTCATCAAGAAAACGATTAATTCATTCAAAACTCATGATTTGCAGTTACCCGATTGGTTACGGAAGACGCACAACTGGTTTGTGAAAAGATGTATCGATCACTAAGGTGAATACACAGAAAATTTATATATTGTTTGTTTTCATTAGTGTGACATCTTTAATTACATTTAAACCGAACAAGTATCGGCTACTGGACATACGATATTAATCAAATAATGATTTTCATTTCACTTGAAAATGTCATTACTCCGACCTAGTTGCGCTTTCATTACTGTATAAGTTGGCTGAAGAAAAGAAT